CAGCGGCTTCGGTCAATTCACTGCAAACTAAAATAAATAACAGAATGTAAGTGCACAATCGGTGTGACACCAGCCACATTTTACAGTCTTTTCAATGCAATACTCGAGACAAAAAAAAGAGAACGTTTATGGTTGACAGTCAAATTTTCATAAAACAAATGTGAACACAATTAAAATTGAATGACAATTGTAAATAGAGAGTAGAGAGTGAGACGACACTTAACTTAACTTATGACCGTACTGTAGAACAATAACCGATCGACTGGCCGATGATATGAACTTATTCCGCATATGTACTACAGAAATGCTTTATCAACTGAACAACGAAAGAAGAAAAAAGTCGTTGAGTGTTTTCTTCTTCTTTTTTTCTTCGTTCCGTTGTTTTCTTCGAACCTTAAATAACACACGCATAAAATAAGGAGAGATGTGTTTAGCTATTGTTGTTGCTTTATTTCTTTTTTTTTCACTTGCATTCATAACGTTAAGCGAGAATATTTTTGCGTCTCGGCATCGACGACGACGATGAAGACGATTGTATTTTGTTTCGTATCGCTTAGCTCGTCTGTGTCGATTGCTTGTGTGCACAGATGTGTTTACTGCACACACACACACTCATCGGAGAACACAACGCTGTGAATTACACATAAAAATGCTAAATTATGTTGTCGCTTCGTCATTCGAATTCAAACGTTTTTATGCGATCGCAGTACGGCACGTTATGCATCGACATTCAAGGCATCGACGCGCTAAGCGGAGCAAGTTCTCCAATCTATAACTGATTGGAACTGTGCGGTGTCAATTTATTGTATGGATCGTCCAAACACAAGCAGATCATGATTTTTATTACTCCAAATCAGGTTTCGGAAGAAGAGCTGTCAATTTCTCCCATTCACGATACTAGCGCCACTGAGGTATATAGCAAATCAATGTAAAGTGGAGTTTATTTTGTAACTAAAATACGCGGAATTTTTGAAATTTCGTACTATTTCCGCACCTTGCTCCAAATGTTCGATTGCAATTGCTCGTGCCAAATTTTTCGTCATTTTTATTGATCGAAAGAGTGTGCCGATAAGAAACCAAACAAAGGACTTGCCGAAGGTCTACAGGAAAAAATATCTTATAAAATAGCCATGATTTTGACCGATTTTAATGGAATGTTAAAATTTAATTTGAAACAATGCAATCGAATGTCAAATTTCGATGATTTTAGCCTTATCACCTAAAAACTACTGCATTTTATCTGTAAATTACCGCATCATAGCTCAAATGTGTCAGAACTGTGCCAGTATAATGAGTGGGTATATGGAACAATCAATTCCAATTTTTGATTTCGTTCAATTCTCTCTGTCACAGATAATGTGAACTAAGTTCGTTGGCATCTATTTGTACGAATCTATTTGGGAGCACAAATGTGTGTTATCGTCGTCGTACGTTTGATTGAGGCTTGTTTGTCTCATCATTTTTTTAGTTCGCTGTTGACAAGTGTGACGCACATTCGCCGTCAATCCAAAAAATTGTAACTGGAATGAAATTATAAATATATCGCTTGATTCTTCTTCTTCTTCTTCTGCTAATGCCAACACCGGCTGCTGTCCACCGCGACCATAAGAATAAAAACGACAATAGGAATTCGTGGTAAAATAGATAAATGGAACGCCTAAGGCATTCGCTAGAATGTCAATGTAATGCGTTGTTTTGTTTCCAATTGTCTACGTGACATATTTGTCGACATGTATGCTCGTTGCTACTGCCCATTGAAAACCCATTCACATCATTAAAAAACAAGGCAGCAGAGCTTCGCTTCGCTCCGCTCTACGTTCTTGAGTTTTTAATTACTTAATCTATTTTGTTGTTTCACAACAAACTATTTTTTGGCGCACTACATGAAATGTATTTCATCAAAGTAACTTTGAAGTAATATATTTATTTGCAAAATGAATTACAAGATCTTGGTTTTATTTCTTTTTTGAAATATACTGCCTTTGGTTTAAATTAAATAAATAATTTGAGCAGAGAATCTAAAATCACTTCAATTTTGTTCATGACTGAAAATATTATACGAAAAATTAATGTAATTTTTAAACAACATTTGATGATAAAAATTTGATTGGCGCTTTGAGATATTATGCACTTATTTGTCGTTATTGCCACTGTTTTAAATTAAATAAAAAATATGAGCATAAAATTCAAATTCACCATAATTTGTTTCAACACTCAAAAACTATCTAGATAAAGAAAAGCAGATTAGTAGCTCTACATTTCATGTAGTGCTAAAAAGCATAAATAAATAAGAAAGCAGAGCCTGATGCTACTTCTTCCGCTGAGAAGTGCAAGCACTCGTCAGAAGCAAGCACAGAACCAGCAAATTAAAACAAAAAGTGATCGCAGGTACTTTCAACGCGATATTCACCAATACACACTGGCGAAAGAGTTCTCAAAACTCATCGATGATTCATAATTCGATCTGTTCATACAGGACATTCACTTAGAAGCAAATGTCAACTATCGC